CCAGGCCCACGTGACAGTCTTCCCTCCCACCAGCTACTCCTTTTTGCAAAGGGTAACATACCTGCTAGAAAGAAATCTGACTCCCCTCATTGTGATTTTAAAATAACTCTCATTATTCCTCCTCTGAAGGTTATTTTCAAACTCTTAATAACTGGTTTTTTTTTTCTTTTTTCTTTTTGATGCAAAGACAAGGAATCAAACCTGCTGACTTTGTCAGGGGAACTCAGGTTAAACTTTCAAGGTGGGATTTTTTATTTCTCCTCCAGTAGATGGGCCTTTTGTTTCCAGGCAGTGCTGTGGTCTCTTCAAATTAAAAAACAAATTTCCCCATGAATACAGACTTTTCTCTGGCAGCTGATAGGGTAGGCTTGGTCTTCACCATCACCAAACTGTTTCCTGAAAAGCATTGTGAATTCCAAGACGCACAGTTAACTCTAGAAGGAGTTGTTTCTGCAGCACTCTGGGAGACCATGGCTCCTTGGTCCCTTGATTGGCCCAGCCAGCAGGTGGTTCCCAGAACCTTGAGTTGATCTCTTTGCTTCTCTCTCTGCCACTGACCCATGGTCTGAGTCATTGCCAGGTTCTGACCCCACAGATGGCCCATGACAAAGGCTTCCGGTGAACCTGAAGTGAAGCGATTCCATGAGCTGAGACCAAGTGTGTGCTCCGGCCCACACAGGGAGCCCCTGGTCCGCCTGGGACCCGCTGGCTGGCTGAGCCACCGGCCTGTGATCGATTCCGGCTTGTTTCTTGCGATGATAGTTTTGCTTCAAACGCCGATCTTACAATGAAGATTGACACAGGAATCCCCACTTCTCCAGGCTGAATTAGGACATTTTTCCACACTCCTTGTGAAGGGGGGAGCCTTCCAGTGTCAGGAGCAGGCTGGAGGAGTGGGAGGTGAAATCGAGTTTTCCAATTCAGGGCTTTCCCGAATGACCTTTTGTCTCTTAACACAGGTGGCTCAGTGTCTTGCTTTATTTTTTAAACTTCATTTTGTGCCAGCTCGAACTCAGGGCTGCAGCAGTGTCTGTGAGCTTTCCTATTCAAGGCTAGCACTCTACCACTTGAGCCACTTCCAGTTTTTTGGTAGTTAATTGGAGATAAGAGTCTTAAGGACTTTTCCTGCTTGGGCTGTCTTCAAGCCATGATCCTCAGAAGTCAGCCTTCTGAGTAGCTAGGATTATAGGCATGAGCCACCCGTGCCTGGCCCATTATTCTTTTCTACACCTCTTTGCATTTCTGTCACCAGCAACACAAGCATTCTAGTGTCCATCTCTCTCTTTTCCTGTGTGGACAGGCTCAGAGCCTTGGACCCATCTCTTGAAGAGGAGGTCAGTTGGTCCTCACTACATAGGAAAAGTCTGCTCACCCTGTCTGCACATTTTGGGGGAATCATTTCAGTTTTTTTCCTCTTCTGTTTTTTATTCCAGTCAGTATCAATGTTTTTTTTTTTTTTTTTTTGTGGTGCCAATACAGGGGCTTGAATTCTTCTCTTCCCTCTCACTCAGCTTTTTCATTCAAGACTGGGTACTCTACCACTTGAGCCATCTCTCTCCTGGTAGCTTTTTGTAGGGGATAAGTCTCATCAATGTCTCTGCTGGTTTCAAACCATGGGCCTCAGATCTCAGCTTCCTGAGTAGCTAAGACTGCAGGCTTGAAATACCAGTGCCCAGCGAACACTGGTATTTCATTAGAGTCTACACAATTACAAAACCACCTCAATTAACAGGGCACCTACTATCATAGTCTTCATTTTATAGAAGAGGAAAGAGATTATGTGAGTTGCCTGGGATCCTTCTACTAGGGGAGAAAAAAATCACCTCTCAGAGGAGAAGAGAGCTTGGGATTCTTTTTCTTCTGACCACAAGCACCTTCAAAGTCTAGAAGGCTCTGTTCATTGTGAGGAGCCTACAGTGTTGAGGGTGTTGCTTCATTAAATGACAGCGGGGTAATGAGGGCAAAACCAACGTAGACGAGATGGTGAGAAGTGGGAAGTGGGGAGCTACTTTCTTTTGGGTGAATGATTAGGATTGACCTACACTCTCTAGGAGTGTATTTCCAGATGTGGCAACTCCTGGACAGCAAGAGAGAGCTTGAGAGCAGTAAAATCAGGGCAGGGATTCTTCCTTCCCACCTGCTGCGTCCTGTCCTGAGCCTCTGGTTCCTGCAGCCCTTAACAGCTGAGGAACCACACTGGCCCTCCACTCGGCTTCCTGCTGCCCTGTCTTGCCTGTTCTGTAAGATTCACTTCAGGAATGACCCGTGTTCCTCTGCTGCGTGTGTCGTCTCTTGTATTCTGATTTCTTCTTCTTGTACTTTCCTCTGTTTTTTTTTTTTTTTATTAATGATCAAAAAGCCAAAAGTACTATCACACAGAGAGGGGGGGAGGAGAGGATGGAGGGGGCAGAGGAGAAGATATAGTCCTCAAAGACCATTTCCTTCAACAAGGTCTCACCCCCTAAGTTTCCATCACCTCCAAATAGCCTATCAGATTAGGAGACTAATCCAGGGATGATATCAGAGCTCTACCCTACCCAGTCACGTACCCGGACTCCTGTCTTAGACTGCTGCTGCATGACTAAGCCTCCCTTATAAGAGCCTCTGGGGGACATCTCAGATCCAAGCCCCAACACGATCTTCTCATTAGTGGGGACTTCCCTGGAGAACATGAAGTCTGGAGCCTGTGTGCATGAGGCTTGATTAATGGCATTCACAAAGACTGAATGTCAAGAAATACCAGGTCATCGCTTTCAAATAGAGTAAACATATTTTGCAGTTGATTTTATTTTCATTTAATTTTTTCAAGTGGAGAAACTGTGTGTGTGTGTGTGTGTGTGTGTGTGTGTGTGTGTGTGTTTATGGACAAGGTCTTCTTATATAGCTCAGGTTAGCCTTGAATGTGTGGCTCTCTGGCTTTTATTTTCTGAGGGCTGGAATTCCCGGAGTTCACCACCATATCCATCTAAAGATGAGTGGGAGCTGTCATCTTGCAGTTCAATCTTCCTTGACAGTGTATTGACTTTTCTCTGGCTCCCAACATTTTCTTGACTATTCATGACTCTCTAGTTTAGTTCTCTGATCCGCATCTCTTCGGAAGTTGGGGAGGCCATTTCCAGACACTTGCTATAGTGTGAGTCTCTCAGCAGTCCCTGGTAGCTAGCAAGCCGAAGCAGAAGTGTGTGCGTCCGAAGGTTTCTCTGCCCACTTCCCTTCCATCTTCGTCGTTTCCCTCCCCCTCCCTATCTCCCATCCTTCCCTTTCCTCTCCCTTCTCTTTCCCTTTCCTTCCCTTTTCCTTCTCTCTTCTCTTCCCTTTTCTCCTTCCCCTCTTCCTTTTCTCCTTTCTCTCCCCTTGCTTCCCCTCCCTTCCTCTTACATTTCCTTTTGTTCTTTCCTTATTTCTTTCCCTCCCCTTCCCTTCCCTGTGCTCTCTCTCTCTCTCTCTCTCTCTCTCTCTCTCTCTCTCTCTCTCGTCCATCATGGGCTTTGAACTCAGGGCCTGGGTGCTGTGCTCTATCACTTTAAGCCACAGCGCCACTTCTGGTTTTCTGGTGGTTCATTGGAGATCAGAGTCTCATGGACTTTTCCTGCCCAGGCTGGCTTTGAACAGAGATCCTCAAATCTCAGCCTCCTGAGTAGCTAGAATGACAGGTGTGAGCCGCCGGAGCCCAGCCTTCCTTCCCTTCTCTTTTTCTTCCTTACCCTCCCTTCCTTCCTTTCCCTTCCTTCTAACCTCTTCCTCTCTTCCCTGTCTCCCCCCTCCCTTTCTTCTCTTCCCTTCCCTCTCTTCTTTTTCCTTCCTCCTCCTTTTCCTCTGCTCATCTCCCTGGACTTTCCTTTTTGTTTTTTGGCATGGGGATGGCCCTAGGACCTCATGCGTGATAATCAAGTGCTTTATCACTAAACTATATCTCCAGTCCTTTTTCTTCCCCATTTCCTTTTTCCTATGTTGAGAACTGGCAATTGTAATCACGAGCCTCAGTATTGTTCTCTGCCGTTCACTGAGCTACCGGATCACTTGCTGGTGCTCCGCTAAGGCTTCCTCACCATTTCTTTATTATTCATGCACCAGCTGTTTATCAAGTGCCACCTATGTACCAGGCACTCATCCAAGCAGTAAGAACTACAGCAAGGGAGCAAGACAGACTACTGAAGAACTTAGCTCCTAGGAGGGAAGAGAGATGCACGACAAACAATTTCATAAGGTGCTTGCAGACTTAGTGTGTCAGATGCTGAATGCAGTGGGAAATGCAAGCAGAGTGTGGGCAAGGTAGACCTCCTGGGAATATCAGAAGAGGGAGGTGAGCCAATAGGCCTCTTAGAAACAGGCAGGCAGAATATCCAGAGCAAAGGCCCTGTGGCCAGCAGAGGGTGTTGCTTGACACGGTCAGGAACAGCAAGGTGGCTGGTGTGTGGCTGGGTAGAGAATCCCGGTAAGGAGGAGCAGGAGAAGAGTCATAAAGAAAAGAGGCTCCCACCACGGAGGCTGGTGACTTGCCCTTGGCCTCCAAGCACAATACCTCTGGCGGTGCAAGGGCTGGGCAGACAAGATAAAGGAATTACGGTGAAGGCATTGGACAAGCTCATCTGGTGGGCTGGACTGTCACTGTGACTTTGAATGGATTGGGTGAACCGGCTTTTCCCTTCTGTGGTGAACCTTTTCTGATTGTCTTGAGTACTCTTCCAACGTGCGCACAGCTACAGTCACTGGAACAAACTCCACACTTCAGGTATGCCATGCGGAGCCCAGCCACAGGGAGCTAGCTTCTACCTGCCATGCCGTCCCAACCCTCCCAGTCTGGAGGTACCTGCTGGAGCTCAGGCAGCCCAAGAGGCATTTGGGTCAACGAAGCACATGTGTGTCTCTGATCATAAGGGAGCCATTCAGTGCCCATCTGGCTCCTGCAGGGTTAGAGACCCAGGGGTCCCCTTGTGTCTTTGGATCCCGCTCTGCAATAGTTGCAGTCAGCTGAACTTTCCCCTTTTCCTGTCTTGCAGATTGAAGCATTGGTGAAAGACATGCAGAACCCAGACACAGGGGTCAGAATGCACAACCAGAGGGTCCTGGTCACCAGTGTCCCTCACGCCATGACAGGTGAAGTAGCTCCGTGACTCTTACCGGGGAGTTGGCAAATTCAATCACATAGGTCAATTCCTCTCTGGTCTTTGTTTATGAATAAAGTTTTATTGGAACACGTTCATGTCCGTTCACTCATGGCCATTCACTCTTGTTTTGTTTTGTTTTTGGTTTTGTTTTGTCGGGGCTTGACCTCTGGGCCTGGGCGCTGTCCCTCAGCTCTTCAGCTTAAGGAGAGCGCTCTACCACTTGAGCCACAGCCCCACTTCCAGTTTTGGGAGTGGTTTATTGGAGATAAGAGTCTCATGGACTTTCCTGCCTGGGGTTGGCTTTGAACTGTGATCCTCAGATCTCAACCTCCTGAGTAGCTAGGATTACAGGCGTGAGTCACCAGTGCCCGGCTCACTCTTGTTTTTACATGCCAAGGGTAGGGTTAAAATACAGAACGGAATCAGGACCCACAATGCTGAAATAGTTACTGTCCAGCCCTTTTACAGAATAAGTTTGCTGAGTTCTGGGCTTTGATTTTCTTGTAAGCTACAGGTCCCTTAAACATGGTTTCCAGAAAACCTGACTATCTTTTTGGTTTATTTTGTTTTCATGACGACAGGCAGCGGGAAGTAAATGCACATTTATTAGGAAAAACACACACATTTGCCTTGCTCCACTCTTTCCTACCTTCTAGATCACAGTCACACCCTTTGAGCATCCCCAGCTTTGAGCTTCCAGCTCTTCTTTGTGTTGAGGGTTAAGGGCCTGTAGGGCCTCATTAGGGGATGTTGGCTGGGGCAAAGCAGCCAGTACCACAGAACAGGAGGCGGCATTTGGTTCCTCTGTTATCCATTCTTCAAGATCTTGGGATTGTAGTAAAGAGTAGGTGTTACATCATGCAGGCTGCTTTTCTAAGTCACAGACAAAAGGACCTTGTGAGTCCTCACCTCCCCCCCCCCCCGCCCCCTCCTGTGTCCTGACTCCCTGTTTTTCACCCAAGGTGCCCTAGTCATGTGGAGCTACACTCTCCCAGCCTTGGAAGAAGAGGGGAACCCCACTAGCAATGCATCACTTAGAGCTCTGTGACAGAAGCATTAGGACTCGGACTTGTTGACTGGAAAGCTACAGAGTAGCACAGGGAAGAAAGGGAGGAACATGGGAACGTAGGGATCAGAATAGATCTGGGTACCCAAAGAGCAGGGAACCAATGGGAAGGCTCTGTAGGGAGCCCATACTCCCCACTCCCCTGTTATTGAAGAAGCAGCTATGGCAGTGGCAGTCTTGAGATCATCCCTGACCTAGCCCCTCCTTGCTTCTGGTTGCCATGAATAATTTCTGGCTTCATTTCCCTAATGCCGGACTGCAGAGTCATTGCAGGGGAGGTATCCTGTGTCGATCCTCTGGATCACCACACTGCCTGGTAGAGGCAAGGACACACGGGATGGCTAAGAGAAGTCTATTGATGGTGTGAAGCAGTCCCGGTGGGGTACTGTGTGAGGATCAGCCATGTGGCAGGTGTTCGGTGAGAGGCTCCAGCCAGCAGGCTTTTATACTGTGCATTGCACTCACAGAAAAGTCATAGTAGATAGCAGCAGCTAGAGACTCTCTCCCTCCCTCCCTCCCTCCCCCTCTTTATCTCTCCCCCCTTGTAAATAGAGACACAAAGGAGTTCAGAGATTTGTCCCCATGTTACTAAGTAAGTGAGCTAGAGTTTGCAGCTCTTTGAGTCTAGAATTTACCTCATCTACTGTTGGAGTGTAGATACACATTTAGTATTCTGCATCTGGGTGGCATCTATCCTGCCACATTTCCCCTCAGTCTTGCTGCATGGGCGTCTTCCATCTCCTGTAGAAACAGGCTACATAGCAAAGCCCCCTGGTCAGTGCCAGTGATGGCAAATGTTCATCCAGCCTCTCGGGTGGCAGAGGACCTAGGGTTTCTAGAGAAAGATGGCTGAAGCGGGAACCTGAGCAGCATGCCCTGCTGTCAGCACAGACCGCAAGGTACCAATGCCAGTGGCATCCAGATCTCACTCGGTCTATTTCAGGAAGCAATCAAGTGGATGAGAACAGCCCTGGCTCCTCTGGGTGGAGAGTGCTCATCCGTCTCTCCCATTTGCTGGCTCTCAGGCTCAGTGCTGCTGTGTAGCTCTTAAAAGGGAGACTGCAATGTCCACATGCTCTGGTCTGGGATTTTTTTTTTTGAAAAATACAACTTTATTGTTATTATTAAGGTGTGGTGGGGGGCGGGGTTAATCATTTCATAAGTCAGGTGATGAGTACATTTCTCTTTTGGACAATGTCTTCCCTTCCTGTGCTTTCCCCAACTTTCCCCTCTCCTGTCCCTGTCCATAAGTTGCATAGTTTATTGTCTACATATTATATACTGGATTCCACGTCTCTGTTTGTTGCCCTTCTTCCCTCCCTGTCTGTGCCCCACTCCTTTTGCCCCCTAAAAAAACAAAAGATAAAAAACAAATCAAAGTGCTCGCTTTGGCAGCACATATATTAAAATTAGAATGATATAGAGAAGATTAACAAAGCCCTCTCGCAAAGATGACATGACACGCAAATTCGTGAAGCGTTCCATAAAAACAAAAACAAAAACAAATCAAAACCAAAAGCAAAATCAAATACTTCCATCACCACCACCACCACCAATAACAAAACACCATGTTTCCATTTCTTGGAATTTGTATGGATAAATAGTATCGTAATTGTTTAGAGGAGTTATGCCTTTGGGTTCCTCCCTTAAGGGCATCTTCCTTTCGTCGGTTTCTGTCCTGTATAAGTGATTATATCCAGTTATATTTGAGATCTATCTTCCACATCTGACAGCCTGGGATTTTACAAGTAGGATGCTAGAATAAGAATTTTGTCAGCCAAGGATGGATCCAAGGAAAGGAAATCCATTGCAAACATGCGGGTGCCAATAGAAGCCATAGCAGAGCATTGGTGCTCTAGGTGTGGCCACGAGGGGAAGAGACGAAGGTTGTCCACACCCAGCCAGAGTTGTAGGCACATAATTAAGCCAGGGGAGTGTGGGTGCTCCCTAAGAGATCCAGAAGGATAGCTCTGAAGAGCAAAGTGTCATTTACAACCTTCCATCTCCAAGGACACACGCAGTAGTGTCTCATGTCCGGACTTTATTTGCATGCTTTGTGAGCCAATTTCCTGCCCCTTAGAGTGGCTGATCAAAGTTAAGTATGACAAGAGTTGAAGATGTGTTGTGTGTGGGAGGTGAGGATTGAGCTGCAGATGCTAGAGTCCGATCGTGGACTGCCCTGACTTGCAGGCTACAAAGATTGAACTGGATGAAGTGGGGTCTCTGAGGGGTTTGAGCAGTTGAGGGACAAGTTCATTGATGAGCAGAGAGGAGACCAGGCAGGCAACCACACGGAGGAGGTGAAGCCATCTGAAGGTGAGTTCGGAGGCTGTGATGATGAATGACTTCATCTCTATTTTGCAGGAGGTGATGTTCTACAGTGGATTGTCCAGCGTCTTTGGATCTCCAATCTGGGTGAGGATTTGTCCTGCACTTGGTTATTGCTGACTACTGTATCTACACTACTACAGGGAAAACTAGACCAAGGCTTTGCTGGTGTGGTTAAGAAATTTACATTGAGCTGGGCGCTGGTAGCTCACACTTGTCATCCTGTTGAAGAGGGTGAAATCTGAGGGTTACCATTCAAAGCCAGCTGTGGCAGGAGAGTCCATGAGACTCTTATTTCCAATGAACCACCAGGGAACCAGAAGTGGAGCTGTGGCTGACGTGGTACAGCGCTAGCCTTGAGCACAAAAGCTCAGGGACAGCGCCCAGGCCCTGAATTCAGGCTCCATGACTGACAAAAAAAAAAAAAAATCCCCCTCCCAGACCTGGAAATTTACATTCAGAGGATCTTCATGAATAAAACAAACAAAAAACAGCCTGACACTTCAGAGATGAAATAGTTATTTCATGTAGCATAGCGAGGGCATATAGGCTATAGAAGATGGAGACCATGCAGTCCCGAAAGACTTCTCAAAAGAGGTTCTGAGAAAAGTGGTGTTCATGATGGATGAAGAGAAGCCAGGAGGGTCTTCCAGCAAGGGGAGACTGACCAGAGCAATGCTGCATAAATGGAACAAACAGAGACTAGAGGGGTGATGACAGGAAATTGGGAGTGATGATGTCTGCTCCGCTACTTGCGGTGGCGGGTGGGGGGCACATTGGAGTACACCTGATCTGTTTGCAGACTCAAGTTTTATCTAGAGATGGGTGTGAGGGAGCCATGTGCAGCTTTGGAGCCTGGAGGGTATCCAGTAACTGTATTTAAGCTGTGATGTTTGCCAGCAATCTGTAGAATCAGAATCTGTAGATCAGAGTAAGAGAATCTGGGGAGCAAATTTCATAGTGGAAAACAAAGGCTTTGGGTTCAGTAAGACATGACAGCTCAGGGTATGGCCCTTGAAGGGGGAAGGTTTCCCAGGCCTTGGGTGATGGGCTAGGATTTAGGCTGGAGTCCTGGGCAGACTCTGGTTTTGAAGGATTAGGGGGATGGATTTCCCAGTGGAAGATGGAAAAAAAAAATCTATCTGTTCCATTGCTACTTCTTGGCAAGAAGGTTTTCTTTTTTCTTTTTATTCTTTTTATTTTTTTTTTTGTCGGTCGTGGGGCTTGAACTCTGGGCCTGGGCGCTGTCCCTCAGCTCTTCAGCTCAAGGCGAGCGCTCTACCACTTGAGCTATAGCGCCACTTCCGGTTTTCTGGTGGTTTATTGGAGATAGGAGTCTCACGGTCTTTCCTGCCCGGGCTGGCTTTGAACCGCGATCCTCAGATCTAAGCCTCCTGAGTAGCTAGGATTACAAGCGTGAGCCACCAGCGCCCGGCCTGAGCTTCTTTTGTTCAAGGCAAGCACTCTACCACTTGAGCCACAGAGCCACTTCTGGCTTTATTGAGTAGTTTTATTGGAGATAAGAGTCTCAAGGAATTTCCTGCTGGGGGTGGCTTCAAATCACAATCCTCAGATCACAGCCTCCTGAGTAGCTAGGATTATAGGCATGAGCCACTGGTGCCTGGTTCAAGCAGGTTTTCTTTTATCTGAGATAAATGCAGAAAGATGACTCTGGTTGGACATAAAGAGGGATGTGGAAATTAATGTGGGAAGGAATGGAAGGCTCTGGATGCAGGCCACACTGCATACGGATGGTTGACAATCAATGTGATCTCCTTCCCCTTTTCTCTCGAGTGAAGACGTGACTGATGGTCAAGCAGAGACATTTTCTGTGACCTTTTCTAGACCCAAAGCCTAAAGATGCTTCTCCAGGGCTTTCTCAACCATCAGCCACAAGTTACCTGCAGCAGGGCACCGGTGGCATCTAGTAATATCCAGTTCACTGACTTATTGAGTCGTCCCTGGGGACAGGACCTTTTAGCCCCCTTCCCCTGCCCATGCTTGCCCATAGTCAGGTTCAAGAACCTTGGCGTCCCTCAGGTACTGTGCTGGTAGGGTGGGACACTCTCCTGGAGTTTGGGGTGCTATGTGGGTGCTGGGCAATGCCCTTCTACCTTGCTCTTACTGTCCATGTCTGAACTACTTCTCCCCAGAGGCCCAGAACTTGGGCAACTTTATTGTCAAGTACGGGTACATCTATCCTCTGCAGGATCCCAAGAATCTCGTTCTCAAGCCCGACAGCAGCCTCTATCGATTTCAGGTGAGTTTGGGCCTTGACTTCAGGTGTTCACGGAGGGTTGATTTTATTTGGAAAGGTAATGGCTTGGCCTCCTATCCTCACAGATCAGGAATTTAAAAGTAGCTGGGCACCGGTAGCTCACGCCTGTCATCCTAGCTACTCAGGAGGCTGAGATCTGAGGATCACGGTTCAAAGCCAGCCCAGGCAGGAACATCCATGACTTTCTTATCTCCAATGAACCACCAGAAAACCAGAAGTGATGCTGTGGCTTAAAGTGGTAGAGCGCTAGTCTTGAGCAGAAGTGCTCAGGAACAGCACTCAGGCTGTGTGTTCAAACCCCACAACTGACAAAAATTAAAAAAAAAATAGTGGAGTGAGCTAAGGTGTTTTTTAATCTCTTCCAACCCAGGACTAGAGGATAAGCAGTTTGTTCATGAGATTCCAGCCCAGTGGGTGAACATTGTTTTCCTATTTTCTTTCATAGACACCATATTTTTGGCCCACCCAGCAGTGGCCAGCTGAAGATACAGATTACGGTAACTACTTTACCCTGCTCATCTGCCTTTGCTCATGCTTGCACATTGCTCATTTCCTTGCTGCGTTGTGGTGACATTTGTCTTGCTGTCTCCCTGACCTTTACGCCAGCTCACATCTGTATTGGGAAGGTCTCTGGGGATAGAGGAAAGCCACTGGGCTGAGTGTCTCCTTTAGTATTCTCAGCTCAGCAGCTTCCTGCAGAGAGAGGCTGCCAAGGGGAGGGGGGGGGGTGTTGAGAATTGAAATATGATGATGATGGAAAGCGTCATTGATTTATTTTCTAGCCATCTATCTCGCCAAGCGAAATATCAAGAAGAAAGGGATTTTAGAAGAATACGAAAAGGTAAAAAGCTGTTTTCAAATAGAATTTATTATACTAGAGTGGGAAATTGTCATGAGCTGGGTTTTCCCTCTTCCTCATATTTATGCATTCATCCGTACCCTATCCACCCATCCATCCACTCACCCATCTGCCCATCCATCTCCTGATGTACTTAGAAATAGTTCGCTGAAGCAAGTTCTTCTCTGTGTCAGTTTTCATTTCTCATGCTGTAGTTGAGGTTTTTGCTCCAGTGGCACTCAGGCACACAGGGACTAGTGTCTCCTTCCTTTTTTGGTCTCCAAATAACATGGTTTAATTGATATCTGTCATAATAATAGATCAGCCTTCATGAATACCGTTGAACTTGAGTTTATGAAGCAAAAGCAAAAGTGTAGACTTTTGTCCATACTACACCACATTATTTAATTTAGTCTGGATGAATCATATTTCCCTAAGTGCAAACTTAACCTTCCAAAGCCTCACATTTCTGGCAGAAGGCAACAGTCTTGCTGTATTTTAATTATTTAAAAACATGTTTTTCTACCACTTTGCACTGTTCAAAAAGAAATGTACTCATTACTTATGTTGCTGTAACCCCTCTGTACATCACCTTTACAATAAAATTTAAATTAAAAAAATAAAAAGTTTTTAGTCAGGGGCTGGTGGCTCACACCTGTAATCCTAGCTACTCAGGAGGATGAGATCTGAGAATTGTGGTTTGAAGCCAGCCCAGGCAGGAAAGTCTGTGAGATTCTTATCTCCAATAAACTGCTCAAAAAGCCAGAAGTGGTGCTGTGGCTCAAGTGGTAGAGTGTTCACCTTGAGCAAAGAAGAAGCTCAGGACAGTGTCCAGGCCCTGTGTTCAAGCCCTAGGACTGGCAAAAAACAAACCAACAAAAATAACCTTCCCCCCATTAACATTGGGTTTTATCTTCATGGATTTTAAATTAGTGTATGTTAATTGTACAAATGGTGTTTCTTTGTTATACTTTCATACATGCTTTGTGGACTTTTGATAGTCTGTGGTTGAATATTGAGTTTCCATATATTCCCCCTTCTTTGGTTTGGGATAGATTGATAGCATTTTATTTAAAATTGAAAAATTCCTTTTTCTTCTGAGGCAGGGTCTCACTGTGTAGCTGAGGCTGGCCTCCAACTTGAGGTCCTCTTGCTTCAGCCTCCTGGCTATACAGCTGTGCGCTACCATGCCTGTCAGATTTGGGATTACTTAGTTTAAACCAAACAAATCCACATGCAGAAAGATAAGGCTGAAGGCAGTCCATATGGTTCCTCAAATGAACAAAGGTTGTCTTGAAGCTAGGCGAGCTGGTTGGCTTACAACTGTGGGCTCCAGTTGATTGGCTTAGAGCTTTTTACTCTGCTGCCTGTGGCCAGGACTCAGTGTTCTTATTGTATTTTCCTTCTCTAGGAAAATTACAATTTCTTGAACAAAAAAATCAACTACAAGTGGGACTTTGTCATTATGCAGGCCAAAGAGCAGTACAGGTGAGTAAAAGGAGCCATTCCTGTTCTCTGGTTGTATCCTTCCTTCCTTCCTTCCTTCCTTCCTTCCTTCCTTCCTTCCTTCCTTCCTTCCTTCCTTCCTTCCTTCCTTCCTTCCTTCCTCCCTCTCTCCCTCTCTCCCTCCCTCCCTCCCTCCTCCCCCCTATTCTCTTTCTTTTTGTGGGGAATTGAATCTAGTGCCTCAAGCATGTTAAGCAATTGTTCTACCCCCCCCCAACCCCCCCCTGCCTCCCTGCAAGTTATATCCCTGGCCATGTTTGTTATGTTTTGTCTTTGATATAGGATCTTTCTAACTTTTCCTGGCTGGCTTCATACTTACGATTCTCCTACCTCTGACTTCAGATTAGATATGATTTCAGGTGTGCTTTGCCACACATAGCTTTTTGTTTCCTTTTATGAAAGTCAATCTTTGCTGAGCTTTGATGTGTCAAACACTGGGTCAGCTCTGGAGAGTAAAAGGACACACTGTGGTGGGCCAGGAAGACAAGCAAGCAGGCCCTGATGCTATCATGGTGTGAGAGCCACACAGTGGGCGTGTGCAGAGGTAGCTGTGGAAATGACACTCAACTGGTCGCTGAGTAAGATATAACCAGGTGAAGGATGGCGATGGTGGATACAGGGGGAGCACTGGAGCCTGAAGGCAGGAGGTTGCTCTGATGGGCATTTCCTGTGACTGGGGCAGCGTGCCAAGTGTGGACTGGGTAGAAGCTAGCACGATACTTGCTGGAGGTGTTAGTTGCAGATCACCAGAGGGCTATGGGGAGATGTTAGGTAGGAAAGGCCATAATTAGATTTGTCCTTTGGAGCACCCACTTCTGGCTTGCATTTGCCTGTTGTCTCTATGAGAATTGGAGCTAAATATCTCCTGGAGAGCTTGTCCTTGAGCATGAGGGCCAGAGATAAGTGTTGGGTGGGGACAGTGATGGATCATTCAGGACAAGGTTCAGCCATGAGTACAAACAGCCCCCAGCTATTAGGGGCTAGACTCTACAGGTTCATTTCTTGTTTGTGTTCTCATCCACTGTGGGTCATCTGAGCTCCTTCAGTCCAGGATGCATTTGGAAAGGTCCACACCATCTGGGCTTTTCCTACCTCTGTATCAGGGACACTCTGCAGATTAGAGAAACACCTGTCACCAGCACTCACATGGTTATGCTTGACTTCCAAGAGGACTGAATGGGGTTGTAAAACCTTACCGATGGTCTTAGAAGTGGAGGAGCCGCTGGAAGATCTGGTGGCCACCAGCAGTGGTTACTTAAGTAGATAATTCAAGTTGGGGTCATCAACCTGCCTTGCTCATCCTGACAGGTCCAGATCCTAGAATTGTAAGCTTGCTGGTACCCAGTTAGGCTACAGGGCAGACACCTGAGCATGACTCCTGTCCACGTCCTCCTAGGTGGAGCCGACTTCACTGTGTGCCAGACCACAGACATACCCTCCCCACCCCTCTCTACTCTCATTTTGCCCCAATATCTGATGCTTTGGAAATGCTAGGATAGAACCCAGGACCTTTCTCATACTGGGCAAGTGTTCTACCAGTGAACTGTATCTTTAGCTCTGCTTCTAATTTTTGAAACATTTAGGATCATGTCACTCTGATTCAAGAGAGGATGTTCACTTCAAATGTCACTTGCTCCTTTCTCATGGGCTGCTGTTGCACTTAGAGGGCCCTATATTTAGTATCTCAGAACAGCAACAATAATTATTGTATTATCTGCCACGACTTTCAAAGGTCAGGGATGTGGGAATGGCCTGGGCTGAGTGGTTCTAACTTCAAGCCTCCCTAGTAGTTATGGTCAGATGGTGATAGGCTGGGGCCCTGCTGCAGGCGAGGGCCTGCTGGCATTCCCTGTTTTCTTCTGGAAGCTTCTGGGCCCTGAGTGTTGTGTGACTTGAGCTTCCTTGCAGTATGGCGGCACTGAGGAGGCCAGGTTGCTTAGAGGAGGTGGAGGTTCATCAACCAGCACAGGAGGAATGTGGGGGCCTCCCTCTCTTTTCTGGTCCAGCCTCAGAAGTTTCGCAGTGTGTGACATACAAAACTATCACAGAAAACCCACTTGGCTTCAAGGGGGAGAGGGCATCTCTGTCAATGGAAAGAGAATCAAAGCATTGTAGGCATATTTAGAAATCACTGCAGATACCATCCCCATGTCTACATCGTAGTCCTTGAGTGTTTCCTTACAGCACACGGTGCCTTTCCAATTCTGTTTCTTTAAATGGCCAGTCTGTGTCATGTTTCGTCCAAATCTCCTCAAAGGCTGGGACTCTGTGTTTAGCTCACTAATATATTCCTAGTAATTGGAACACAGTGGAAGATCAATAAATACATGAATAAGAAAGATTAAACAAATGCTGTTGTTAAAAAAAAAAAATCGTTGTACGACCTAACAGAGAGTTCCTGGTTTCCTGGCTGTCTTAGATTCCAGACATCACGACTCCCATCCATGAACATCTATCGCAGAGGAACAGCTGAGCTGAGCCAGAAAGGACCACTGGGGTCATTAGAGACTGGCTCGCATCATGGAATTCCCATCGTGCCCCAGGCCGTGTGTGGTCCGGCCTCTCCAAGACGGGAGCTAGTTAACCTGGTGGAAAATCCAGTTAGGTTGTCAGGGGGAAGCGGGAGTGACAGTGTTTCTATTTAATTTCCAGAGGAGGCTGGCAAAACACCCTGCTGGAATGGCGCTGTTCACCCAGCCGGCTCTCTGGAGGTTATTATGTTATTCACAGTACATTAACAGGGAGATAAATCTGCTGACTGTCGTGAGGGCATGTGCGTCATCTTACACTCCCTGGGAAAACAAGCGTTGATGAATGTGAGCACAGCTCACCCAGGAAATAGGACTGAATGCGGATTTCGGGGCCATAATTAACCAATGTTTCCCCAGTCCTGGGGGAGGGAGGCCCAGCATCTACTTCCTATGGACAATGGGGAAGGGGGGGGGGGGCGTGGACAGATGAGAAAGGAATAAGCAACCAAGGGGGCCAATGGCTCATGCCTGTAGTCCTACAGGGGCTGAGATAGGAGGATCTTGGTTCAAAGCCAGAGTGGGCAGAAAAACCCGTGAATTAACCAATAAAAAGCCAGAAGTGGATCTGTAACTCAAATGGTAGAGCATCAGCCTTACCAGCCTTGAGGGAAAAAGCTAAGGGAGAATGCCCAGGCCCTGAGTTCAAACTCCAGTACTGGCAAACACAGACACACAGATAGACACACACACACACACACACACACACACACACACATGAAGAAGAGGAGGAGGAGGAGGAGGAAGAGGAAGAGGAGGAAGAGGAAGAGGAAGAGGAAGAAAATGACCTGGAAGAAGAGGAAGAAAATGACCTTTAGCAGTCATCAGTTGAGTTCAGAAAAAAAGCCCTGACTTGGCCTGTGCTCTTTGGAGTGACAGAGAAGGATGGACAGGCAGAGAAAAAAGAGGATACTAGGAGACCGATGTCTATCCCTGTTCCCTCCTCCCCACCCCACGCCCCATGTCCTGTTTGGCATTGATGCAGCCTGCTACACTAGATGTTGATCATGTCATTTACCAAAGCAAGACACAGTAAGAAGCTAGTGGAGGTTCAGTGTCAGCCCAGATGGTCATTTCCCTGCAGCTTGGGGCCATCAGAGAGAGAGCTGGATCTGGGCAGAAGCTCCGGGAGTCAAGCCCCATTTCTGCCCTGTGCTGATGTAGTATGGCCCTGGCAGGGCAAAACCTTGCTTAAATTTTTTCAACTGTGAAGTTGGGAAAAAGCCACCAAGAGGACTAATGGAGATTAGAGAAAGCAATCCATGTACAAACAGTTTGAATGGTACCTGGTGTATGTGTGGTATTGGTGATGTTTATTGTTCTTATAGCTAGCACACCTGAGGTACTTGGACAGATGGGGAAAACAGCACAAAATATCATCAAGAATGGAGGTTATCATGGAACAATCCCCCTCCCCCCCAAATTTCAAAATATTGCTTCTTGGCCTTGAACGTGGTTTTCTTATCTCAGGACTGGGAAGGAAAGGAACAAGGCTGACAGGTACGCATTGGATTGCCAGGAAAAGGCATACTGGCTGGTGCACCGAAGCCCTGTGAGTATGGGGTCCCTCATCGCTTCTGAGCCCCTCTCCCCATCCTCTGCCTGCGCTCTCCTGTCCCTTGCTAGCTTCTTTCCCTCTGGGGGTGGAACTGGAGTAGCGGGAGTTGCTGCTCAGTCTTGGGTGAGCAGGGAGGTGTCCTTCGCTCAGCTGGAAGAGGAGTTGTGCTATCTGTGCATGGCCCATCTGGACTCATGATCCTCAATACTAACGCATCAACTATCGAGGGACAGGGATGAATGTGTCCTTCTGAGGGGGAATGGTGGTAGTGGTGGTGGGTGTCATTTCTTTTTCATGCCTTGGGAAAAAATATGAGAAGAAAAATCTAGAACATAGGCCCCAAAACAGAAGAGTAAAATACTGTGAGGACAGGTGTTCTACATGGCCAAGTAATCCAGGAACAGAAAAGAAAGCCATCCTGTGTATCTCCAGCTGCCTGTTCTCTTCCCTAGGTCCAGGCTGACAGCTGAGATGGGAACGGGAGAAAAGGAATGAGTCTATACTCAGCTTCTTATTGCTTGGGGCATCTCTGGCTTTGAGAATTCTGGAGGGCCAGAGAAGCAAGCAGTCTATAAATGAGCTGACTTGGGAAGTGTCAGCCCTACCTCTCAGCACAGAGATGCAGGTTCTGACCATCACCACCTGCTGGGGTGAATTCTTTTTTTTTTTTTTTTTGTCGGTTGTGGGCCTGAACTCTGGGCACTGTCCCTCAGCTCTTCAGCTCTACCACTTGAGCCACAGCGCCACTTCCGGCTTTTTCTGCTTATGTGGTGCTGAAGAATCGAACCCAGGGCCTCATGCATGCAAGGCAAGCACGCTACCACTGAGCCACCTTCCCAGCTCTGGGGTGAATTCTGCTGCCTCAGTTTCCTCCTGTGTGGAGCACATGTGCTGCCTGTGGGGCATAGGAGGCGAGAGATGTAAATGAGGCTGTGGAAATGGAAGAGTTGGAAATCTCCTTTTTTGGTTTCCTTGTCTCCTTCCAGGCATCAGAAATCTTCAGAACTAGAAAGCTAAATCAGGTCCCTAAAGGTTAAGAACTTGTGAACTTCAATCTCATTAGAGTTCAGCTGTTTTGCTCATTTCCTCCCCTCCCCTGCTCCCCTAAAGTAGATTCTCTTTCAGGCACTGCTGCTGTGGTGCATGGGTTGGGATGCTGGTGTGGTTGAGCTTAAGACCCTGGAGTTGAGCTCCCAAACACATTCCCCCCTGCATTGCTTCAAGGTCTTCCTTTAGGGAAAACCAGTTGCCTGACATATGCTTCTGGATATATGGCAGAGGGTCAGTACCAAGCCCAGGCCTCCTCATGGGCAGCTTAGTGTGTATCAGCTACACACTGCCCATGCTCTCCAGGAGAAGACCACCTGGGTGAGGAGAAGGAAAATGGCATGGTGTGCCCCTGTGCCCAGTGGTACCACAATGGAGGGGACCTGCTCCGTACAAGGGCTGGGAAATGTCTTCCACTGTCCGTGCATAGACTCCGTAGGGTTAGATGGCCAGTGTGACTACGTTTCTTTCAAAGTGGCATAGACTGGCTGTGTCTGAAGTCTTCCCAGGCCCCTTCTCCACCTTCTCTGGATCCAGGAGGTCTGTAGGATAGAAAGTGAGGGATGAGGGTTTGGCTCATGTGTTAGCGCACCTGCCGGGAAGGACAATGAATAGATCACCCCAGGTTTGCCCTGGTTCTCCTTGGGTAAATTCTCAGCTCCTGCCAGGCAAGTGGCTGGGTGGCTTCTCATAGCATGACAGTGTGTCTGTAAGGTTGTCTCTCCTACCCCTTCCCTCCTCCAACTCTATCAACACAACCTGCACCATCTTATCTTTACCTCCACCACCTCTATCAATCCCTGCTTCCCCCCACCACGCAGCTCAGGTCCCCAGCTTCCTCCTCCTCCTCCTCCACCACCACCGCTACCACCATCACCATTCTGGTGCTAAGCATTCTGCCTTCACCTGCTTGTGAAAGGCACTAGTGTCATTCCCACTCTACTGATAAGCAAACTGAGGTTCACACAGCTCCTAAAGTGCCAGAGCATCTGAACCCCTAGATCTGAAGGGGAGCCTTTTCTCATTCCTCCTCTCAGGTCACTGTGCCCTGACAATGTCATGTGATATACCCATTACATCGCAGTGTTTTGGTAACCTCCTTGGTCTTTAGAACATTGCCTGCTGCTCCTAAAACATAACATTTGGGTTCGGCCCAGTCCCTCTTGGATAGCGTGTTCAAAGTGAGGCTTTGCTGTAGTCCTAAAACTCCTAGCACACGAAACTGCTTTTCACATCTAATCTCCCCTCAGTGGATGAGACAGGAGTGCATCTGGGGCCCTGCTTTCCCTAAATCTTCCGGAACATTCTCCCCCTCTTATTGGCACGCATGGAGCAGACATTATTCAGGCCGAGGAGTGTCTCAGCCTGGAATAGAGCAATCTGTCTGACAAACTCAGGGAGCCCTGGAGCCCACAGACTGCCAGACTGTCTCCAGGAGACACAAACAAACCATCAGTGAGTTGGGACAAAAGCCAACCACAACACAGTGAGCCTTGGGCTCTGTGGATGTGGCACAGTCCCTTTGTGGACTGACTGGGGCCACCTGCTGTAGCGTGTCACGCAGCTATGAAATTAACCGGCTTTCATTTATCTGTATCTTTGTCTAGAGTCCCCGATTGGGCCCGACTCTGTGCCTGGTCAGAAGTTAGGTGCTGGGCATGAAATAACAGCTAGAAATCATGGAGCTCCTCCTGTGTGTACATGGGAAGCTCTATGCCTGGGTTGCCTCCTCCACCCCTGTCCACGATACGACGAAACAGGGAATGTCAGCATTCCATCACTTGGATGGGGAAATCAAGGCTTAGGGCTCTGTGCTGGGCTGTGAGTTCATACCAAGGGTCCCACAGGCTACTGTGGAAGAAGGACCCGGATGTGCCCCACCCCTGTGTGTGCCCCACCCCCGTGTTCCTCCAGAGCTATCACACGGGGAGAAGAGGGTGGTTGGCTGCTGCCTTGGGCCCAGCACCACTGGCAGAGGCCAAGATCAGATGTGAGGTGGGGGTGGGGGATCACAGAGCTAAAACGGCACTCGTGATCCAGCGTCCGGTAGTGAAGGAAGATGAGGTTCCGCATCTGCTTTTTACCAGAATGGAACAAAGAAGAGGTCTGAGTACTGTGTAATAGTTTGTAATGTCTAGAGACACAATGGGAAATGGTCCCTTGAATGAGCCATCTTGGGGGTAGGAGGGTGAGGGTTGTCTTCCCTACATCTTTGTGTTACCACCCCAGACCTCTGGGGGTGTATGTAGTACATCTCCTAGGCCTGGTGTTATGGCCGAGGATGATTTCGAGTAGTGTGCCCTAAATCCCATGGTCACGTATCTGAATAGCGAGCTCAATTGCCCTGAGTTCAACCCCCACACACAGACAGATGTTCACCAGAAGAGATGGCAGTTTTCCATTTCCTGCCAGGGTCAGGATAAATGCCACACCCCAGTGGATGGCAAAATAAATGAAGCCGAATCTGACATCATAGAACACTGAGAAGTTATTCAGATAATATTTTCAAAGGCTATCCATTGCCCTAGAAAAAGTAGTCTGACACGTGATTTTATATCATGAAATGAGACAGGAAACTATATATTCTGGTTCTATTCTTTTTCAATGCCACATGTACTTTTGACAGTCTCCTCTATGCCAGATGCCTAAAAGGGAAGGAGAATAGTTGGATTATGAGTCCAAACAGACTTGACCTGTGACCTTAAGGAGCTTACTATGGGCAAGCAGAGAGCTAGAGACTGAGATTATTGCACAAAAGAATGAGTGATGTGCAGAGTAGCAGAGTAGCTTGACCGAAGCAGGGGGCTTGTGTCAGTTCTCCATGGAAGTCACATTCAAGCCAATATGTGCTTGTGGCAAACTTCTCAAATTATATCTTCTCTGCCTCTTCTCTGTCTCCCTCTCCCTGTCCTGGTGTGTGTCTTTGTTTTTTTTTTTGTCAGTCTTGGGGCCTGAACTCTGGGCCTGGGCGCTGTCCCTTAGCTCTTCAGCTCAAGACTAGCGCTCTACCACTTGAGCCACAGTGCTACTTCTGGTTTTTTCTGCTTATGTGGTGCTGAGGAATCAAACCCAGGGCCTCGTGCATGTGAGACAAGCACTCTACCACTGAGCCACCTTCCCAGCCCATTCCCCTCCTTATCAAACAATTTAGGGGGGCTTTGTTTTTCCAGTCCTGGGGCTTGAACTCAGAGCTTGGGCACTGTCCCTGAGCCTCTCTGTGCTCAAGGCTAACACTCTACCACTTGAGCCACAGCACCACTTCCAGCTTTTTCGGTGTATGTGGCACCGAGGAATAGAAGCCAGGGCTTTATGTGTGCTAGGCAGCACTCTACCACTGAGCCACAGTCCCAGCCCCAATTTATTGTTTTATTAATCCTTTTTTCCCCCCTGCATCAAAAAGGTCTGACGCTTTAGGAAAGGACCAGGGAGAGAAGGGACAGGAGTGACATGAGGGAGGGTCCCCAAGCAGGGGACACCAGCTCTCTCTGGGCTTTCATTTACGTCCCAGGGAAGTAGTTGGGGCTTCATGCTAACTGAAGAGGAGGAGTGTGTGCATCTCTGGATGGCTTCCTGTTTGTGGCACCAGGGCAGGGGGCCTGTGTATGCCTTTCATCTCCTGGCAGCATGTCGCAGAGGTGTAGTGACTTCCTGTGCCCTGACAGTTATGTCTGGTCATCTTCATTCGAGTACCTTTTTGTGAGTCAGAAACTGTCAGCAGTGACTCTTGCTGGATTATGAGTCCAACAGACTTGACCTGCCACAGCACACCAAAGATGATGCTAAGCTGCTGGATGAGTGAACGAATGGATCAAAGAGTGAATGGATGGATGAGCCTGGGAATCCCCAACCAAGCAGAGGCAGTTTTGGAGGTAGAAACCTGAATGGGACCATAGCTGCATTAGCTGAGACAGATGGCTGCTGTCCACACAGGAGCTGACAGGAGACAGGAGCAGGCACTACAGGACATCCTGTAGAGTTGAGGGAAAAGATGGGGCACAGGGAAGGCTGTAGGAACAATAAGCCCTGGGGGTGGCTGCAGGCCTGGCAGTCTGAGACATCCAGTCTGGAAAGTGGAAGGAACCCCTGCATTATTCAGGTAAACCATTGAGCTCTGGAGTAGCTGATTTCATGTGGAGGGCAGGAAAGATTCAGAGGGAACTGCTGGATAACTAAGTCAAGACTTTATGCCAAGGTAGCAAGGAAGGAGCCTGAATACAGACAACTGTGTGTGTGTGTGTGTGTGTGTGTGTTCATTCCAGTGTAGTAGGGTATGTCTGTGTCTGTAAATGTGAATATTCATGCCTGAGAGTATAAATGCATGGGTTGTATGTATGTTGTGTTAGTGAAAACGGGTGAGTGTGCAGAAGCTCATATTTTCCTGTGTGTTAGTATGAGTGAGTGAGTGAGTGTGTGTGTGTGCGCGCGCATATGCGTTCAGGTCTGTCTTCTGTTTCATCCATGGTCAAGTATTTCTCCCTAGCAGATGAAGGGGAAATTCTTGGAATCCATCTAGGCAAGGCATTGTTATGAAGGCTGCTCCCCATTTCCCTTCCCCTTGAGGTTAGCTCTCATGGCATCTGCCTTGGGCATCTTGTATGTCCCTTCATGGTACTGGTCATGACTATAAGTTATATATATATTTTTAAGTTTTTGGTGCCAGTACTAGGGCTTGAACTCAGGGCCCGAGTGCTGCTGCTGTCTTAGCTGTTTTGCTCAAGGCTGGCACTCTACCACTTGAACCACAGCTCTACTTGGCATTTTTTTTCTGTTTAATTGGGGATACGAGTTTTACGGACTCTCCTGCCCGGCTGGCCTCAAACCAGGCTTCTCAGATCTCACCTGGCATGAGCTATTGGTGCCCTGCTTCTTAATGATCCTTCTGTGATGGGGAGGGGTGCCTCTCCTCTCTTAACACCAGAAGTGCCTTAGTATACATTCTGGGGATGCCCAAGAGCAGGACCCTCATGTCACCTTCACCAGCTCCCCAGGGCAGTGTCCAGCACAGAGGAAGTGGTTATTTGTTAATCTAGGCCCAAAGGTCCCGGCTCAGGAGAGGATGGTGGGGCCCCTTCCCTGCCATCTTCAATATATTTTCTATTGTCTTGGTTTTCCCCCCCTTCCTTGTCTAGGATGGAGGCCCAGTATGTTTTTGTTTTGTTTTTACCATATCAGGCTGCTGGGCAAGGCTTCTAGATTTAGACAATTAAATACAGATATTTTGTGCCTTTTGAATGTCAGCTAAACAGCATGTTTATAGAAAACATATGCTTATTTGAATACATTTTGTAGTTTTTTTGGGGGGGGGGGTCCTGGATGTGGGGCCTGAACTCTGGGCCTGGGCGCTGTCCCTCAGCTCTTCAGCTCAAGGCTAGCACTCTATCACTTGAGCCACAGCGCCACTTCTGGCTTTTTTTCTTTTTGCTTATGTGGTGCTGAGGAATCGAACCCAGGGCCTCAGGCATGCAAGGCAAGCGCTCTACCACTGAGCCACCTTCCCAGCCCCTATTTTGTAGTTTTAACATAAATATACAGTAAGTATTAAACTATTGGGGGGGCACAAATCATCTGTTATTTATCTGAGATGAACTGGATGCCCTAGTTTTTAATCTGACAGCCCAACCTCTGACCTAAAACCATTTCCATGCTATGGAGGAGGCCAGCTCTACTGGAGAGAAAGCCAGTAGCTTCCTCCAACCCTCTGAGCACTGAGTGCTCAGTGCACTCAGCCTTCTTATAACACGTGCCTGGCCTCCACTGGTGCCCAGAAGAAAGTGAAGGACCTCAATTGCTGGCCTCTAAGAGATGAGAGAGACCAACAGAGCCTGGCTGCAGAGTTGAGATATGGGGGGGAAAGGGATCAGAGAGTGCAGACCCAGCTTTGGAACACACCAATGAATCCATCTACTGAATCATCTTCCCTTGTTGCGTGACGGTGACTCTTAACTGACTACGAATAGGACATCCCCTTCTGTTAAACCCTCAGAAGAACCTGCCAGGTAGAATGCGTTGTCTCTGCTTCCCGGCTGGGGGCAGAGTGCGGACAAAGTGCTTTGTGAGAGATTTGGCCCAGCTGGAAAGTAGCTGAACCAGAGCTGGATCCTAGAAACGCCTGACTGAAACCTGGACTCTCCCCAAGCACCAGTGTCTTACTTCTTATCCAGCCCAAGGCAGAACACTGCACTGTGGGAAGGAGCTCTGTGGGAGGGCTCAGGGGTCCCATGGATGGATCCTAGGGAACACTTACTGAATTTCAATGTTATCCCTTCCTTCTCTCATCTGTTCATCTATCTATCTATCTATCTATCTATCTATCTATCTATCTATCTATCTATCTATCTATCTATCTGTCTGTCTGTCTGTCTGTCTGTCTGTCTATCTATCTATCTATCTATCTACACATCTACCTAGATATTTATCCTCCACACCCACCCATCCAGCCACGGTTTTGGAGATGCTATCCATCTGGCTGTCCATCCATCCATCCATTTATTTATCTCTCCATTCATCCATCCATCAACCCTCCTACCCAACCATCCATCATCCCTACTATGGTACTGAAATGCTATCCATCTGTCCACTATCCATTCATCCCACTAACCACTCACCCATCGTTCCATTCATTCATCTATCTGCCCACTCACCCATCTGGTCTTCCATCACACATCATGTTAGATGCTGGGGGAGCGCTGGTATCTGAACAATCCCCAAGAAGCTCCCTAGCTCCCCTGGAGGGTTGACACACTCTTGTATCTCCCTATGGGTTGGGGTGCAAGCCCTTCTCTGCTTGGTCTCACAATTTGCAGCGTGGCTAACACCTAAAGTTGATCTGATCCTGTAGTGATGCTTATATTGTTTCTATTCCATTTAGCCAGGAATGAATGATGTGCTGGACTATGGCCTGGACCGAGTGACCAATCCAAATGAAGTTAAGGTAAACAGGTAAGTCTCTGCAGCATTCTAGGCATATACATTACCTCTCTCTCTCTCTCTCTCTCTCTCTCTCTCTCACACGCACACACACACACACACCATCTTATCATCATCATCATCATCATCATCATCCAAACAGACACAAATGAACCTGTGGATGCATTTCCAGCCACAGAAACTGAGAGAGAGTCAGAGTTGCTCAGATTGGAAACCACTGGTCTCTTAATTCTGCCTAAAAGCCATTTCATTGTTTTCTCTCCAACCCCCAGCTTGAGCTGGCAAGGGGCAGTTACTTCTTTAGGGCATCATCCATAAGGCTTGGCAGTACCTTGAGGTGTGAGTGGAGGCTTGGAGGGCTGAGCCCCAAATGTGGGAAGATGGTAGGGCAAGGGGAAAGGGGAAGGAGCTGGTAAGAGGCATCTTTGGCATGTCTGGGGAGAGAGCCATGAGTCCCCAGAGAGCATCGTGGGGGAATTGTCTGGTTTCTTGTCCGAGAGGCAAAGTGGCTGTCCCGTGACACATACATGGTACCATCAGTTCCTATGGCAGCCTTTCCCACATCCCCTCTTGTCAGATAACAAATCACTGCGGAGGCCTGGTAGGCTCAGTTGCCATGGAGACAGAATATCCTTGAGTAAAATACAGAGCCAGGGTAAAAGATTTTTGTCGTTTCCCCCCGCCCCGTCCTCCCCTTCCCTTGGATAAGGAGCTGCTCTGGAAACCTCTTCTCTGTTGGAGGGGGAGGGGGAGGGGGAGGAAGCAGCCACTCATCTGACATGGGGGGGGTTGCAGTTCCATCTATGGCTGAGCAGTGTGAGTGTGTGGGAAGCCATTGGCAGGGCCTCCACTTTAGCAAGTGGTGAAGGCAACTGAGGAGCAGAACGGCTCCATCCTGGGAGCTAGGTAGGCTTCTGAAAGGGTGATCACTGCCATTGTCATGGCAGATGGGCTGTCCAGGAAGGAGGGGAGCCATGCCTTCTGGCTTTCCAAACCTGAAATCTTGACAGGGGCCGGCGATGCTCTCAGCCTAGGGCCAGAACACAGATGGGCTCACCGGGGTGGGTTCCCCAGGGACTGGGCCACCTCTGCCATTGATATTTCCTCTTTCTCTCTCTCTCTGTCTCCTCCACCAGCTTTTTCTTCCTGGGTGTGCCTGCTGGCTATGTGGAGTCATAAGAAGAAGCACGTGGCCCTCACGTGCCCTCACGTGCAGTCAGGCTGTCATCCTCCCTGGGCTACCAGTGTCTGACGTGCCCCTGTACGGGCGGGCCTGGGACTTCAGACTATATGCAGGCAGCATCTCCCCCAGCTGGGGGGCCTTACTTCCATTTTTCTGCCTCGAGAGGAATATAGAGCACTTGGAACATCTCCATAAAGCCTTGGGAGTAGAGAGATTTTTGTGTTTGTCTCCATTCAGGGAAGAGGGAGGTCGTGTCTAAGAATGGCTGGACTCTGGACTTCTTCTTCCTACACAGAGCTAAAGCCCCACCAAGCCCGAGTTCTAAGGAGACTGTGAGGTTGGCAGGGTGTGTTTGTGCCCCCCCCCCCTCCGGTGACTACTCCCTCAGACTGGCTTGGCTGCCCAGTCCTGTCAAGGCCTGACCCTATATCCTAGGAAATATGTCCCCTCTCACTCAGTTCCAGGGTGCCAAGGGCACAGATCTCCCCCTCCCTGTGATGATCCTGCCTGGAGACCAGGCACTGGCCTGGCTGTTCGCTGTTATGTGCACAGGGCTGGCTCTTCCGTCCTGTTTCCCCCACTCCAGGAGGGGGCTTTAGGTGATGGCTAGAGAGAATGATCCCTTGCTGAGCTTCAAAGCACCCAGCTCTGTCACTCCCTACCCATGGGAGCTTGGCTCAACTCCTGAGCCATTCAGAGCCCCTCCCCTGTAGAGAAAGGGAATCATAAGAGCATCTCTGCTTCTGAGTTGAGGAAATAGGCCCGGGGCGGTGATGGTGGGGATTCACCTGAGGTTACACAGCTTGGAAATGGTGATCCTGGGATTTGAATCTCCATGAATGGCCTCCAGAGCCTACCCCAAATACTGCCTGATGGTGTATTTTGCCTATGACATGGGGCTTTTAGAAACATTGCTGGATTTTGTTAAGTCCTTTAGGGGAGATAAGGCGACTTTCATTTTCCGTATAACAAAACTGGAATGGAGACTTCACTATTTGCCCAAGGAAGACCAGCTACAATTCTGATTTAGAACCTTTTAGTTTATAGCGGATCACCACCCCTCTCCCATCTCCATCTCCCCTAGGCCTGGCCTACACACAGAGCCTCTCCACAGGCACAGGCAGGCGACTTGCACCAGTACCCAAGGCCCCACACCCAGAAGCGCCATGCTGGATTTATTCTTGTCGCCATGTTAACATCTGCTTTTCGGGAGAAGGAACTCTGCATTTTCATTTTGTAGCAGGGTCTTCAGATTCAGAGAAATCCTGCCTTGACCATGCAGGAAGTACCTGACTCGACAGGTGTTTGCTTCAGATGCTGACAGTCCCAGACCCTGCCTCCTTGGCCAGCTGTCTCTCTTCCGTTTTCCTGGCTGCTTGGCATGAACTCCCTCAGTTGCTGGATTTCGCTGTTTCTGTGCCTTGAGACACCCTCTCTGTGCGTCCATGCCTCTGTTTCTTTGCCCATTCCTACCCAGCACCCTCATCCAGAGCCCCTTGCCTCTTCCTGCCCCGGCTTTCTCCTTCCTGTCTGGCGGGGTCTGGCTGGCATGGCCCTGACCCTTCTTGCCCTGGGACAGTTGTCCTCAGCTTCTGTTCCGGTTTGAGCCACGGAGCCTTGTAAACAAGTCTAGACGTGCCCCTATTTGGGCGACTCTGCAAGTGAAAAATAGTGAAGTTGCTAGAATTCCAGGAATCCAGAATGTCAGGAAGGGTTCCTTAGGACGAGTGTTCTCCGTGTCGCAGCGTGGGTTCACTCTGGGAGGCCCAGTTTCGGGGACGGGAAGGGATTGAGCTGTGAGTTCCAAGGAGAAAAGAAAAAAAAAATTGTGTTCCTTCCTGATTTACCATGAGGTAGGTCTCTGAGTTGCACAGAATTGTGGGTGAGTGTGTGGAATTTTAAATGATGTCCTTTGTGACCTCGATTAAATAACTATCGTGACAGTAGCAGGTTTGCCAAGTTCAGCAAATAGACACACGGACTTCCCAGTTGATTTAAATTTCTGATACACAATGCCAATTTTTGTTGGTGTTTCATTGTTGTTGTTGTGGACTTTTCTGCTCCAGCTGGCTTCAAATTGTGATCCTCTGGATCTCAGCCTCCTAAGTAGCCAGGATTGCAGGCATGAGCCACTGGAGCCAGCTTTTTTTTTTTTTTTTTATCTTTGTTGGGGAAAAAAAATCTAGGAAAGCCAAGACCAGAAAAAGTGGTACCAGGACAGAGATCTATGTATTTCAGAGTGGAATGCTTTCCAGAAGCTTCTAAAAACCTATTGATAGACCTCTTTCTGGAACTGTCCTTCCTTAGCCTGAACTCAAAAGTCAGAGAGTGAGTGTGAGAGAGAGAGAGAGAGAGAGAGAGAGAGAGAGAGAGAGAGAGAGAGAGAGAGAGAGAGAGGACTTCTTCAGGTGACCAGCCCTCAGTGTGAACTTGCTTTGGCAGTTTAGGGAGAGGGACAACATGGCTTTTTTTTTTTTTTTTCCAACTTGTGGTGTTGGTTAAGTTGTTATGAATAACTGAGAATAAATCTTGCCATTCATTCAGCTTTCTTCCTCTATGGGAAAAGAAGCTTAAGATCCCTGCTATCTTTTCCATCTCCATGTCGCTCTCCATCCAGAATGAGAGAGAAGTGAGGTTTCATTTCTTTATCTCTCACTTCCCAGATGATTCTAGAGATATGACAGCAGACCAGGCCAGTCCCAAAGACAACCTTTGATTCTTTTTTGTTTTGTTTTGTGGCAGTGCTAGGCTTGCACTCAGGGCCTGGGCCCTTGTTGTCCCTAAGTATCTTTTGCTCAAGGCTGGTGCTCTACCACTTGAGCCACACCTCCATTTCAGGCTTTTTGGTGGTTAATTGCGAGAAGAGTATTATGGACTTTTTTTTTTTTTTTTGCCTATGCTGGCTTCGAAACATGATCCACAGATCTCAGCCTCTTGAGTAGCTAGGATTACAGGTGTGAGCCACCGTTGCCCAGCTCATCTTAGTTTTGAGGAGAGCCATGTAAAGTCATAGTGGTAAGTTAAATTCCTTTCCTGGTCATACCGCTTGATTGACGGCCTCCCATGGTTGCACAGAATGGGACAGAAGTGGTGGTGATGGGAAATTTCTAGCCTTTGAGTAAGAAAGGATGGGCAGTGTTCATAGGGGGGAAGGGGTTTTATTTTTCCAACAGGTATTTGAACTGTAATGATTTCAATGCTATCCATTGAATGGTTTTATTTCTTTGTTTTTACAGAAACAAACAATCCCTGCTGTCAGAAAAGAGGTAATTAGTCTTGCAGTTCCAGGGGTCTGGTTTAAAATCCTGTAATAAGTTACACGGACGCCGTCTTTATGCTCTGTATTCAGTAGCACAAATGAAAGCCATGTGTGGTGTGCAAGCAGTTGTTGTCACAGTAAGGGACAGTACAGAATGACAAGGTCATTCTGTCAATGGTAAGGTCAGCATGGAGCTGATGCTGAGGTCCAGTAAGAAATACCCATGGATGTCACACATCTGAGGGGAAGGCAGAGAGGGCCACAGAGGAAACGTGATAGAGGGTCCATATTACCAACCAGACTCTGGGCTCATCTCTGTAGGCCCATTCAGAATAGCCTGCATGGCCCAAGATAGAGTCCTGGGTAACATTGCCTGCAGAGGCAGGGCATGGGCAATGAGTATCTGAATGGGAAAGAGGCAGCCTAGGAGGGGGAATGTCTTGCTTCGGCTGACCCTTCAGAACCAGAAAGACTGGGGATGGCCTCTGTGGCAGGGACCACTCAGCTTCTGTCACCAGGAGGCTGTGAGGGAACAACTAAGCATCAGTCCCCATGGCTCAGCTGAATGCTACTTAGGACAGATTTTCCCAAATCAATGCACGATGGGTGAACTAACTTGGAGTTTGGGAGGTCACCTGTCTACCAAGTCCCTGCTCTGTTGGTATTAAGTTGGCTGGCTTAACTCTCATTGTGGATATATAAATGGCTTCTCATTTTGGAGCCCTATGTGATTGTGAGCATTGGTGACTCTCAAGGGTAAGACTTGGCTGTCTCAAGATGGTCTCTCTTCCAGATCATGTATTACCAGCAGGCCTTGATGCGGTCTACAGTGAAGTCTTCCGTGTCCCTGGGAGGGTATGTCCTTGATTTCTTTGTCTTGCTATGTGAGCAAGTAGGTAGTTGGTGAACAAGAGGAGAACTTGTGCTTTACTGTGTGTGTGTGTGTGTGTATGTGTGTGTGTGTGTGTGTGTGTGTGTACTGGGTCTTGAACTCAGAGTCTTGCATTCTTGCTTAGCTTTTTTGCTCAAGGCTCTACCACTTGAGCCACACCCCCACCCCCTCTGACTTTCTTTTTTAATTTTCTTTTCCTGGTTCGTTGGAGATAAGCATCTCTCAAATTAGTCTGGTTTTAAACCAGGATTCTCAGATCTCAGCCTCCTGAGTAGCGAGGATTTACAGGTGTGAGCCACTGGGGCTCAACTGAGAAAACTTGGGCTTTAAGGCAAACTTAACACAAGATAGGCTGCCTGCTTTAAGAGCCAATAGATCTGTAGATGCCTCCCCCCAGTCTTTTTGAGGTTCAGTTCCTTCTTCACTCACAGTAAGTCTGCAGGTTTTACCTTGGGTTGAGAAAAGTTAAGATTCATCAAGCTCCTATAAAAGTCTACTCTGTTCCTTGTCATCCACTAATAGGGAAGCGGGGGCAGAGGCAGGATGGGGGAGGAAGAGTCCCAAGTTCACAGACATGACCTCCAGGGAGACCTGAGACAACCCGGTTCCATTGTCATCCACTCAGATTTATTAATTAGGGATAAGTAGGTTGTATTTACCGATTCAGTGGGCTGCTAAATGTCATTGCTGATCTTTGATTTAAAACCTGTTTCGGATACATTGGGAATCCATGTTTGGTTTAGTGAGTTTCCAGCAAACTCCCCCCCCCCCCTCCCCCTGCCTACCCCCACCATGAAAATAACCTGGCTTATTTCTATAATCCTTTACTTGAGCTACGGAAGACTTGAATACTGGTCCTGGTTGTTTCAGGGACTGAGGAGAGTTCTTTCTGTTTCCTTTCTTTTTTCTTTTTCTATCAGTGTCTTCCAGTGTGGTTAGGAGTTTGTTTCTTGTTTAAAAAAAAAAAAACCATGAAACACTTCATAGTTTACAAAAAATACCACCTCCCCTGAGAAATCGCCCACGGCTGTGGGTGAATTTGGTGACAGTCACCTTCTATGCACATGTAGACAATGCTCCTCACCTCTGGGTGCTGGTTTTCCCTACTCAGATATCGGGAAGTATGTTATGTGGAGGGTCTGACTTGTCTTGAGAACATTTATTTTTGTCTCCCATGGTAGGTTTGGGGTTCATTTCTCTGTCAGGTTTTAAATAATGAAGCTCAGTAAACCCAATGAATAGTAAAAGACAAAAAAATTACAGGTGGACATGATTAATTAAACAGCAGTCTAAACATTCACATAGTGAGACCAAAGGAGGATATTCTTAGGAGAGGATCACAAGGGCCCCATAACTGTGTGCATATGATCATATAAAATGAAGCCTATTGAAATGAACTCCAAGAAATGGTTATTTATTGTACTGTTTGTGGCTTTTTTTCCCCTTTTTTCTTTTCTTCTGTTCCCCCCCCCCCCCATTTTGTTGCTGTTTTTTTTTAAATTTTTTGAATTTCTTTACCCTTTGTCTTGTATGTAACTTTATCTGATTTGGGGAGGGGAAGGGGAAGCACAGAAATGGGACAAAGGGTGACCCAATTCAGCAGTGATTCTCACTAGACACTATGTTGGAAATAACCTATATAACTTGGGGGGAGAAAGGGAGAGAGAGGGAAAAAAACAAAGAAAATTAGGGAGGATGAACTGTTCTAAAAGAAATACACTCATTACCTGACTTATGTAATTGTAACTCCTCTGAATATCACCTTTACAATAAAAATTAATTAAAAAAATAAATAATGAGGCCTAAGGTCCCAAACCTGGGCACTATCCTGACACAGGGTAGGCACCAACATATCAGGAGACCTCAGCCAAAGCACAAACAACTTGTGCTTCCAAGATGGGGAACCAAGACCCCAGCCAGTAAGTCAGCTGTGAATGCTAATATGTCCTGATAGCCAGGCATTGGTGGCTCTGCCTGTAATC